AAAAAAAAAAAAAAAAAAAAAGAGAGAAAAGATAGATTTGTGTCCAATTATCGGACATAAAAATATCAAAAGAAAAGAAACAAATAATATTTTTATTTGTTTTATGATATATCTTTTTATTTTTAGTGCTCAATTCTCAACTCCGTTCAAGTTCGCCGGTGCTCGTAAATCTGGTGTGCTACAGATTTAGAGACGTTTGCCGTTGTATCTTTGGGGAAGTTACGCCTGAACCGTTAGCTGCCACACGGGGCGTATTCTTCTTGCGGAAAGAGTTTTACTCGCCTCGACTACAATCTTTTCGTTTTTCAGTTGTAATTTATTTTTCAGTTCAATTGTAATTTTCTATTTTTTAGATTATTTGTAAGAACTGAAAATACATATCAGTTCGTAGGATTCCCGTGTAATTTATACCAAAATTATCCAACAGAATCTTCTTGACTTCCATTAAACTATCAATATCCTCGTGTATAGCTACTGGAATTCACCGACAAAGTTGATGGCTTCTCCGAGCTGACATTTTTTTGTGCGTCGTCCTAGTGTTGGCAGTGCCTCTGTCTCTTTTAGGTCGTGGCGAGCCGCTTGCTTTGTAACTCTTGGCCACGGCCTGCAAAATCACCGACGGTTGGGTCTTTAACTTCGAGGGCGAGTCCCTTTTCTCCAACGACTGTGTTTGTCGTCAAGAATCCCGAGATATCTTTTTCTCATATGATGTACTCATAAAGGCCGGTTTATCTGGTGAGCTGGATACTCCAATCCACTCGTAGGTCGCGTGGAACAAGTCGATGCTGGCGAGGTCGCTCCTCCAGTCAACCGGGATGGGACAAACTAATAACTTTGTTTTTAGTCTCGCTTTTGAATGTGGTTTTGTAAGGTCGTGATGACCGTTTGGATATTAACTACTTTCATCTCATTGAGCTGATGTAATTGTTTTTGCAAGGTCGTGTTGACCTTTTGAATGAGTGCCTCTATGAATTGATCCTTATATGAATATTTAAAAGTTCTACTAGCTCGCATTTTTTGCTAATGTTCCTCGTAGTATTGTTATTAATCCAACTCGAATATCGTGTTCCCCTTGAGTGATGTACTCAGTTCATGTTGTTGTTTTGTATGGTAAATCTACTCGGTACCCACTAAATAATCTAGCTCTTCGCAGCAATTGTGCAGCATGCCATCCCCATCCAAGTTTACTAACTAGCGATTCTAGTTGTTTTAACTCAAATAAATTATCTCGGCGTTTGGTGCTAACGAATAGTATAACATATTCATCTCACCTTACCCATCTTGAGACCTGCTAAAAGTTGGGAATCAACGCACATTTAGCCAGCTTAAGAGGGTCCTCGCGCAACTCAACTTGCGAGGTGCTCAAAGATATAATCAACAGGCATTTAGCCAGCTCTGTTCAAACTAATTTTTCAAATAGGTCCTTATCTAACTCACCTTACGAACTAATTTTCAAATAAGTTTTTTATTTGAAACTAATTTTCAAATAATTTACCTAGCTCTGTTTAAACTAATTTTTCTAATAAGGTCCTTACCTAACCCACCTTACGAACTGTTCAAACTAATTTTTCAAATAAGGTCCTTACTTAACCCACCTTACGAACTAATTTTTCAAATAAGTTCCTTATTTGAAACTAATTTTCATATAATTTACCTAGCTTTGTTCAAACTAATTTTTCAAATATGGTCCTTACCTAACCCACCTTACGAAATGTTCAAACTAAATTTCACAATTAAAAACTGTGTATTAACGCATGACAGATGCAGATATAGCCCATATCTTGTCTGACCTTGTACATCAATTACAAAATAAAATTTTGAATTAATGCTTATAATTTCACAGTTACCAATAGTAATATATAAAAATCACTCTGTTTTCTTCTTTGGGTCACATGATCCCAAGTACCATCATTCATCAGTACCTAAATGCACCTATAATAACTACATAACTGGCCCCAAACAATATATATATATCTACCTCTTTACCTAATTATTTACTCCAAAGTGCAACACTTTTCAGCTGCTAAAAAATCCCAGTAGTACTACTTTAGCCCCCCCCCCCGTTAGGGTCGTCACCATTTGTTAGCAAGTGTGCCTAAAGGCTGCACGGCCGCCGCTTGCTCTTGTTGATACTTGAATACGGTTTCTGCATCCTTATCTCCACGGCCACTGCAATTAACGACCACCCGAGCCCCATCAGGCAATGTCGGGCAAAGCTTCTCGAGATAGGCCAACGCATGAGCCGCTTCAAGTGCCGGAAATATGCCTTCTAGTCGACACAAAAGTCCGTACGCTGCAAAATTATTGGAATAATTTATTATTTCAATGTTATATTAAAATTTTGATTAATTATGTGTAATGTTGTTAGTTTTTGTATATATTATTATTATTTTTTTTTCCTTACCATCAAGTGCTTCTTTGTCTGTGACCGTGTGAAACTCTGCTCGTCCAATGTCCTTGAGAAAGCTCAGTTCGGGGCTGACACCCGGGTATTCTAGCCTGCATCATCAATGACATACAGCCAAATAATTAGTTGCAAATCATCATTTTGTGTTTATGTATGTACATACACTAATTTTGTGTGGTCTACTCGTCATACTTCTTTAACGAAAAAATGCATATTTTTAGGAGAATGCAACAATCCTGTCGTTACAGGATTGGTTCCCTTTTTTTTTAGTCGTAGACAGGGGCATAGCCAGGATTCAAATTTATCCGGGGCTGCACTTAGTTGGTATTGCACCATTAATACAACATATGTTTTTCATAATAATTATTCCAACCTTTTTTTTTCTCAAAACACCATCTAATTATTAATTAATTATATATTTGTGGTGTAGTTTATCTTATGGAGATAGATAGCACATGTTTCAGTGTAGAAAAGATCAACATGAACTTTTTTTTTTTTTTTTTGTAAAACCGAATAGCTTAAGGGAATATACATTTAGGATTTTTAAGATTTATTAATATTTCATAAATTTTGTGTATCTTGGTTTTGACTTTTTATGATTTTTAAAATTCTTGGGTTCCTGAATTGAGATTTTAAACATTTTTTAAAAGTCGAGAGTTAATTTATTTAACACTGAAATTTATTAGGATTTTTTAAGATTTATGATAGTTCAAACTCAAATTACATATGTCAAATCTTACTATCAAATCCCACCTTTCTAATAAGGATTTCACCAAGTACATAATTTTTAAAAAGTTTGTAATTTAAAAATGACTTAAAATATCACTCAAAATCTCAAATAAGTAAATATAATTACATTATTTATCTTATTCATTATGTATACTTGTTCTGTAGGAAATTGTAAAATAAATATAATATTAATTATATAAAATAAATTTTAGAAAAAATACTCCAAAAGTTTACTTTTTAGTAATATTGATTTTATTAAGCATGTTTTTGTGGGATATAGGAATTTACATATTTACTATTTTATTAATGCAACAATTATAATTTTACCAATTATGTTGAATTATATCATTTTATTTCAAATCAACTTTCAAAAGGAAAAATAAATTTAAAGATTATATTTTCATATAAATTTATTTGTGATTTATTATTATTATTATTATTATTATTATTATTATTATTATTATTATTATTATTAAAAAAACACACCATAGCTGTTATTTCTCCAAAAACAAAGATTCAAACCAAGTTAATTGAAGCTCTTAAATATTCACATTACATGTTAAGAGTGATTAAAAAGATGTGCCATTGGGTAAGAGGAATATTTCAATTTAAATTAGGCTAAAAAAAAAAATAAAAAAATTAAGATGTGAATATACTAATACATTGTGCTAATTTTTTTAGATAGGGCTATAGCCCACCAAGCCCCAATATAGCTACGCCCCTGGCCGTAGATACACTTGTAGTCAGTGTAGATAATTTTTTATACTTAAAAAGAACGACGGAACCATCCCGTAACGAGTAGCTTTCCCCATATTTATAATACATCGTACTTTTATTTATATAATGTAAAAGTATATATATCTATTAAAAAAATATGTTCCAAAAAATATGTTCAGTTGACTAATACTCACCCAACCCCAATCGAGTGCGGCCCAATTATTTGACCCTCTTCATCTTGAAGCAAATAGCTCATGGCCCCATGATACACTCCCACATCCCCTTTGGCTAGAGTCGCCGAGTGCTTGCCTCCGTCTATTCCTGTGCCGGCGGCCTCCACCCCGACTAGCCTAACGTCTTCATCCCTCACGAACTCGTGGAAGATACCGAGCGCGTTGGATCCACCGCCCACGCAGGCAACCACCACGTCCGGCTTTCTGCCCCACCTCTCCATGGCCTGCCGCTTGGTTTCTTTACCGATCACCGATTGGAACTCGCGCACCATGCTCGGGCACGGGTGAGGCCCCACTGCCGTGCCCGACAGGTAGTAGCTCCCGTCAAGGTCGCCCACCCACTCACGGATGGCCTCGGATGTCGCATCCTTGAACGTTCCCTTTACGGACTTTACCTGGATCGATCGAGGGTAAGACAGTATTTTCAGCTAAAAATGCCATGCGGATATGGATGGATTATTAATCAAAGTCTTGGATCGAGGGTAAAACAATAATTTTTGAAAAGCATGACCTTTCCTAGTACAACTGTCTAACATATAGAAAATGCTATGGTCCCGTTCTGAAACTATTCCGTCGGGGTTTTGTAACCGTTAGATCAACTATCTCCGATGGTTATATGATGATCTAACGGTTGCAAGCTCCGACGGTTCCGTAACGAGTGTAGCATCTCCCCTAACATATATGGATATATTAATATTAATTAAAGTCCTGGATCGAGGGTAAAATAATAGTTTATACAAAAGTATGACATTTTGATAGTAAACTGCCAAAACGGATAATTGATATATTATTAACTAATTAATTCGGACCTTGGCGCCGAGGTGTTTCATGAGAAGCACGTTAGACGATTGCCTCTGGATGTCAGAGTCGCCCATGATGACCGTGCAGCCGAGACCGAGCTTGGCGCAGGCGGCTGCCGTGGCCACGCCGTGCTGGCCGGCGCCGGTGGCGGCCACCACATTCTGGCAGCCCATGCGGCGGGCGATCATGGCCTGAGCAATGGCATTGTTGATTTTGTGGGCCCCACCGTGGTTGAGGTCCTCCCTCTTGAGGTAGATCTCGGGGCCACGACCCCTGCCGTCCTTGTAGTGGTCGGTGAGCCTCTGGGCGAAATAGAGAGGAGTTTCACGGCCCACGTAATCTCTTAGCGCGATAGCGAGCTCGACCTGCACAAATATATATTTTTTATTATTATTATTATTAGGGATTGAACTTAATAAATATCATGAGGATCAGTACTTTTTGTATGAAATGTATCAAATCATGAACTAAAACCACTGTAGTTAATGAAATTTTCGACCATAATGCAAAGCCAAAGTGCTAACCAATATTTAGCCATGGACAAGACACTTGCCAAACCATAATATATAAGCAGAAATTTACAATAGGAGAACTGATCGGTAGCCAGCCGCTAGATCTAGGGGGTGTCGAACTCTAAAAATTATAGATAATTCTCCCATTTTTCCTTTAGTAGACCATACCTGAAATTCGGGATCACGTAGTATCAACTCGAATTCATGCACGAGCTTGTTGAGGCAGTCCACGAGCGTCTCTGGCACGAAAATCCCTCCGTACCTTCCGAACTTGCCGGTCCTAAACGACGCCTCCTCCACCTCATCAATCAGCTTCACGACATTCGATGGCTTATTGGCAGTGAGAAGTTCGGTTTTCAAGACAAGGCGGTGATCGGTCAAAGTCCGTTCGTCCTGCCTCACGGCCGAGCACACGACTAGTGATGACCTGCTTTCATCTAAAAGCGACGACTTATCGAAACTCGGACGAGGTAAGAAAACCGGTTTACGAGCCGTAGGGCATTTGGTTTTGGGAAAGGAAAGAGTTGGGAGTTTGATAGAAGACGACATAGTTAGTAATATTTCCACTCTTGAGCTTTTGGAGTTCTTACTTGTTTATTTATTTTAGTTTTGTTTGTTTGTTTGTTTGTTGAGGATGTGTTTAGCAATGGGATTTGGGTGTGTGGGTATTTATAGGAAGACTTTAGATTTAAGTTACGTTTAAAAGAAGGCAATGGCAACGAGCCACGTGGCGCGTGGACTATTTGGAATTTAGCACGCTGAAGCTTGATAAAAACGTGTTTCATTTCATCTGAGAAAACAATAATTTAATCAACGTGTGGGACCCCATATATCTACAGTGTTAATTAGTTAATATATGTGGCTATGAATTAATCTGGGAGCGGTACAGAGAGCAAATATGAATAGAACAATCAACTGTTTGGAAGAAAAGGTGCTGAAAGTGAAACACGTTTTACTTGAGTTTCCTAATATTGCTGAGACACAAAAAAGTAACTTAACCGTGGTATATTGTCTGAAGTGAGATAACGATTGCTCGCTTATTATTAGATTTCTGGAATCGGGGGAAGAGAGTGCAGTCCAGGATTTGCTTTATTGTGATGCTATGACATTTTCGTTGGGATTCTCTCTAGACCGGGATCTGCTATTTTTGTGTTTCTTGTTGCGGTTGTCAGTTTTTCCTTGTATATTTTCATGCTTTTGTCTTTTATTTTTTCGTTTGACTTAATGTGTACCACATATTGGACTTGTAGTTTTGTGACTTTTCAGCCCATTTAGAGTTTTTTATATACAGGATGGGGTTTGGCCTTAACTCTACCCAGAAATGTGTTATTTTTGTTAAAAAAAAAAAAAAAAAAAAAAAAA